CGACTTGCGCCTTCTGCGCTCGGTCCCCTTCGGCAGTAGCCAGCACCAGATTTTCGGAACTTTGCGGAATGTGACGGAAATTTTTTAAACCATTCCGTCAAGTTGGCAGACAAAATTAACAAACATCTTGGGTAAAAATATGAAAACATTCGAAGGACCGACAACCACTCTCAACACCGCATGCCTGTTTCAATGGACCGCACCTCACATGACTAAAATGTGCACACTTGTTTCTTATTCTACCTAATTATTACTAATTATTGCATATTATCAATTTTATGGCTTTTTATGGCTGTACTCATGTTGCAATATTTTGTAATATTTGTAAATTTATTTACATTTGTGAAAGTTGTTTGTTTCAGTAAGTTCTGAACCTTTCAGGACAACCTTCCAATTTTTTTTCCGGCAACTATTTTATAGTTCCATTCTAAAACGTTCCATTCTCCCCATACATGAACTTCTGGAAGCTGTGGATTATTGCCGCCCAGACCCGTGCGTCAATGGGACCTGTACGAGCGGGGCAGACAACTTCACCTGCGCCTGTGACGAGGGCTACGAAGGAGAAACTTGTGAAGTACCCATCACTGGTATGTAGCGAACCTGTAATGTAAATGTGATGTGATGTATCGTGATAGGGGTATATTCTGTGAAAACGTATGTATGTATGTATGTATGTATGTATTAAAGATTAAAGGTTGTACTTAAAGGTTAACATCACTATGCAAGACTTATGTTAATGTGGAGGTCGTTTGCATAATTAATGAGCACATGTTGAAATAAAATATTGCCAAAGGATAGGAATTCATCACGCAAAATATTGTAATTTGAGTTTATAAATTCAACTGTTAAATAAGACCTTACTTCCATATACAATGAGACAAACCCCCAATAACAACTTTACATAAAGTCTACATATTTCATGGAGGTATGAGATCTCCGAATTCGTGTTAATCTATTTTTTTCAACAGGTTGTCCAATAGCAGGCTACGTTGGTTTTGACGGAGGTTGCTACAAGAGCTTCACGGAGGAGAAGACGCGCGATGAGGCTAGACAGACCTGTGCAGCAGACGGGGGGATTTTAGCCATGCCGAAGGACAATGCCACCAATACTTTTCTCGCTAATCTAGCAGAAGTAGTATTGGGTCGCTGGCTTGGGCTGACTTACAATGACGGCCAGTGGGTATTTGAGGACGGCCAGACCCTGACATCATCCGGCTATTCCAACTGGATCCGAGGTGAACCACAACCCGACAACGGTACTAACGGTGGCTGTGTGGGATTTTATGGGGACGGATCCCTCTGGAATGAGAGAGACTGCAGCTTCCTCAGGGGATTTATCTGTCAGTTGCAACTGCAAGGTATGCACCCTTGGCCTCTCTATAATCGATATTTCTAGTAATGGGATAATAGTACTCGTAGTTTAGTCTTTCTAGCGACGTTTCTAGCTATGTTTTCAGTAGCGTTTGTCCGTCTGTTTGTCTGTGAACAGCATAACTCAAGAAGCTTAATATGCATTGTCATGAAACTTGGTATGATGTCGTGGAACTCTTGTTACCTCCATGAAAAATGGAGGTATTGTTTCTGGCGCGTCCGTCTGTGTGTCTATGTGTTTGTGTTTCCGCACATTTGTAGTCAGCATAACTTCATAACGCCTTTATGGATTATGATGATTTTTGGTATGTTGGTCAGTCTTAGGAAGCAAAGGTCAAGGTCAAATATGGGCCTCCTGGTGGATGACCTTGGTACTGCAGCAGAATTTCCGGTTTTTATATCTTTTGTCCTGAACATGCTATGGTCTTGATTTTTGGTGACAGATAACTTATTATGTCACGAATAAGTGGTGTAAGTTTGGTCCCCCTAGCAGCTTGTTCTGAAACTGCAGGTTAGTTTCTGGTAAAAACTTCTAATTTGCATTTAATTAAGTACAAATCTCTCTCTCAGCTACCTACACAAAAAAAAATTATGAAAATACGTTGTTCCTATCTTGACTTATTGGAACAACGTATTTTCATAATTTTTGGTGTGTAGGTAGCTGAGAGAGAGAATTGTACTTAATTAAATGCAAATTATGCAAATGAGGACTTAATTCGCATAATTAAGGACGAAATTCTATAATTACTGTGTTTTATATACTAATACTTTTATACATGTAATCTATTTAACCTGTGGCAGGCGGAACATCAACAGATACCAATTATGCAAATGTGACCTAATTTGCATAATTAATGTGGAAATCATGTAACTCCTTATTGGTGAATGATGGGAATTTTATACCTTGTGACGTGTAGGTTACTTGAAGGTTAACACCACTATGCATACATTATGTTAATGTGGGAGTCATTTGCATAATTAGTGAGGACATGCTGAAATAAAGTTTGACAAAGGAGAGGAATTTCACACGAAAAATATTGAATTCAGAAAACTTATTAATTGAAATAGATTATGCTAATTACGACCTTATTTTCATAGTCAATGAGACAAATAAAAAAAAAACATTTACAAAAACTCATATATTTCATGGAGGTATGACGTCTCCGAATTCTTATTTTCACTTGGGTTAAGTGAGAAAAGTCCTGTTAAGTGCATTTCCCAAGGGCACAAAATCGGTGGCATGCCAGGACTCGAACCCGGGACGTCTTGGTTCCTATTCGAGCACTCTAGATCTGTTACGCCACACGACTCCACTGACACTAACACTTCAAGACAACCTGTTATTATACAGTGAATGCACCACTGTAGCACAGTTTTGAGTAGCCTTTCCTTGACTTACTTATTTCGGGTGCCAGTACCCCTCTGCCACCCGAACCGCAATGGCTGCCCAGTAACTCCTGTCCTGCATTACCCTCCCCATGCCATCAGCCTGAAGACCGGTGTCCCTTTGCAACATATTAACTTAAAATTACTTAGGATCGTATGCTTTCTTTTACGAACAGCCTGTCCAGAGTTACCGCTTCCAAACGGCAACAGGACAGAAGGTCATCTTTACGGAGACACAATCTCCTTTTCCTGTAAGGAAGGCTACGAACTGATCGGTTCTGAAAACAGAACTTGCCAGGCCAACCAGAGCTGGTCGGGTGTACAGACCAATTGCTCCAGTAAGTGACCATTTTTAACAGAGTGTTTTCATATATATAGTGACCAGTCATATTGTATTTTGCAACCAATCTGTCTGAAATTGCGCGGTCTTTCATACTTCAAGCTACTTAGGATCTTATGCGTTTTTTTTTTAGGAAAAGCCTGCCCAGAGCTGCCATTTCCAAACAACGGCAACAGGACAGAGGGTCATCTTTACGGAGACACAGTCACCTTTTCCTGTGACGAAGGCTACGAACTGATCGGTTCTGAAAACAGAACTTGCCAGGCCGACCAGAGCTGGTCAGGTGTACAGACCAATTGCTCCAGTAAGTATTAGTACCCCCCCCCCTTCGACATTATGGTATTGTATCGGAATTGATTATCTGTTTGCAATGTTTTCATTAGCTAATACAGGTCATTAATAGTACTTAAGGTATCATCTGTTTCCTGCTAATGCCATAGATATAACAATGCTGGCGACAAAAATGACCATAAGCCAGGGAAATTAATTTACATGCAAAAATATGAAAACATTCGAAGGACCGACAACCACTCTCAACATCGCATGCCTGTTTCAATGGACCGCACCTCACATGACTAAAATGTGCACACTTGTTTCTTATTCTACCTAATTATTACTAATTATTGCATCTTATCAATTTTATGGCTTTTTATGGCTCTACTCATGTTGCAATATTTTGTAATATTTGTAAATTTATTTACATTTGTGAAAGTTGTTTGTTTCAGTAAGTTCTGAACCTTTCAGGACAACCTTCCAATTTTTTTCCGGCAACTATTTTATAGTTCCATTCTAAAACGTTCCATTCTCCCCATACATGAACTTCTGGAAGCTGTGGATTATTGCCGCCCAGACCCGTGCGTCAATGGGACCTGCACGAGCGGGGCAGACAACTACACCTGCGCCTGTGACGAGGGCTACGAAGGAGAAACTTGTGAAGTACCCATCACTGGTATGTAGCGAACCTGTAATGTAATGTAATGTAATGTAATGTAATGTGATGTATCGTGATAGGGGTTTATTCTATGAAAACGTTTCACTGATCACGATTCATGGAATTCGATATATTTATGGAATTCTCTTATTGTTCGCGTGCGTACATGGGGGGTACAAGTGTTTGAGACCATCATGTATGGCAAATGCTCAAAACGTATGTAGGTTGCGTTAAATTGCATTAAATTTTAAAATCACAAAAATATATGGAGTATGGAGTATATGAATATGGAGTAGCCCAAAGGTAGTGAGAAAAAGTTGAACGTTGTCTGGGAGACACTGTGGCATGTGTTTCTTGGACGTTCCCTTCACAGAAGGAAATAGACTATTTTAGCCCCGATTCATTAATTCTTGTATCGTTATTGAACCTTCTGCAACAGGTATAATCACCCAATACACATGCATAGAACGAGGAGGTGTTTGTACTGCAGTAAGAAAAGGTTTGATAAGGTACACACATTCCGTGGAAAAGGTTCAGATTCAAGATCACTTTATTGAACATTGCAGTGTATCACTGAATTGCGTCCAATTTACACAATTTAAAAACAATTCAATACCTACAGACAGTATTTTACATACTAAAATCCATTGACAATTTTAAAAAGATGATAGTTAAAATAACGGTGGTTAAAAAGACACTGCACTTCTAAGGGATATAGGTTGCAATAAATATACATCTGTGTAAATACACGTGTAAATACACGCCCAGTAAGGGCGAATACATATACACACATTATCTGGAAAGGTGTCAACCTACTTCTAAGCGTAAAAACACATCTATTAGACGCTCAGGTGTTGAGCTGCAAATGCACATCCAGATAGGACGAATACACATGCTCAGGTGTGAATACACATGCTCAGGTGTGAATACACATGCTCAGGTGTGAATACACATGCTCAGGTGTGAATACACATGCTCAGGTGTGAATACAAATGCTCAGGTGTGAATACAAATCCCACCGCCAACCACAGATGCCATACGCGGATCCCACCACCGCCATCCACGTATTTTTTACGACGTATTTTACGTAGTTTAGCCATCCGCGTAGTTTTAGCCATCCGCGTATTTTGAGGGAATACGACATAGATGACTACGACGTATTTCGTAGGTTCCTCGGTCGCAAAATGCTAGCAACTGGGCCGTGAACTACACATCACCTAAAACGTGACGTATTGACCCCAAAAGGTGACGTTTTTAACGTCTGTATTTTTGACACAAAAATGATGCCATAGACATCACATAAACTCAAAAGAGTGTACGTGCTGTTCGCTTAATTTTTGGTAACAAATTAATCACCATGTTCTCAAACAGCTCTTCCATGAATTCCAGAAGTTGTGATTCACATGACCTTCCTCTTCTAAAACCGCTTTACCTGCTTACTGCAGGTTGGGATCTTCCAGCGAGTTGTCCGTTAAATGGTCAGCTCAGTCTCCCCAACGGCAAAAAGTACGTGGCGCCATCCGACGAGAAGGTCAACTACGCCACTGCCCAGGTGAGATGTGCCGCCGAGGGAGGAACGGTCGCTCTGCCGCTGGACTCGAACGAGCAGGAGTATCTTGTGTTTTTCAAGAACTGTCTAAACCAGTAAGAATCATGTTTTCAATCACTGTTACACCATATAGTATATTGTACATGAGCAGTTAAGTTAAAGAGTAAATATGATTAAAAATTTAGCCATCATCAACTCTACAGCTGCATCTCTACAGCGGCTGGCTAGTCCACTCGCAGTGGTCTGTGTTTAACTCCCATACTCTTTCCCGAATGCTAAGTGCTAAGTAGATTAAGCAGTATATACCATTTCTAAAGTCTTTTGTATGACTCGGCCGGGGATCAAACTCACGACCTACCGAATGCAAGGCGTCTAAGCACTCTACCCACTTGTCATTGCCAGTACTGTATACTTATAGGCACACTCTACTCCATTGTAAGACTTGGAAATACCTTAGGAAACAACATTCACCGTGAAACATTGTATCAAAACAGTACAAGGGAAAAGTCATTTTTCTCATTACATCTTACAGAAATGCTCAGTTTTGGATCGGACTCAGTAGACCAGACGGAACGTGGGTTGACAGCCAGGGTAGCGCGCTCGGCGGATTCTCTGCCTGGGCGCCCGGGGAGCCCGATGGTCCTACAAAACTCTGTTCTCATATTGTGTTTGGAGCAATGTCCGATAGTGAACGCAGAAACAAGTGGGCGGACGCATTATGCGGCAGTACGTTCAGATACATCTGTAACACAAGTAAGTTTTATGTAATATCCGTCATTGGCTTCAGTTTATTGCCTTGCTATCACATTGTTTTATTCAACAGTTTTACAACACGTGATGTAAAGGTGTTTCAAACCCTGCTTTTTTAAATCAGTCTTTCGACAAAGTTTGCGAGTACATACGTTACGATATCGTTACGTTAACGTTAACATATCGTTAACATAACGTTAATATGACGTAAACATAACGTGATAACTTCGTTAACATTAACCTACGTTACGTTAAAGTTAACGTTACGTGGGCATAACGTTTGATATAACCTAACCGTATGTTATATTTTGACACGAAAATTAGGATACATAACGTATCAGTACGTCAAGTGACGCTTTTTTACGTCCGTAGTTTTGACACGGAAAATGCAGAATCACATGTATTATATAGTATGTAAGTGTCATTACTGTTTTCCCTGTTTACCCATGACCTGTACTTAGCTCGTTAGAGCACAAGCGTACAATAATGGTCTTTCATTCATTCTTATCCATAATCTCCAAACAGATCCCTTTCGGTGGCAAAAGACAGTATCAAATTGGCCAGGCAGTATCCATTAGCCAGAGAAGCTCCGCGGCCACCGACGGGTTGGTGGGGGTGCAGGACAAAAAAAGGCCATATATAAAAATGTAACGATCATCCCCCCACAACCTCTGCTTGGAGAGTACTTATCCACACGTTATGTCATACGAGCACGTCGGCAGAACGTACTGCGCCTGCGCAGAACCCTGTATTTTCACGGTTTTCGGTGGATTTTTGGTCAACGTTGCATCAGAATTTTGCCTGTTGCAGAGGATATCTTTTCCTACATAACATTTGGAACCCACAGACGGAGTGTGAACCTTATATGTGCGAATACGACCTTATATGAGACGTTCTGCCGAAGTGCTATGTACAATACATTACGAGTTTCGCGCAGGTGCAGTGCGTTCTGCCGACGTGCTTGTCATACGTGACGTATTGACCCAAAACACGTGACGCATTGACCCCAAATCGTGACGTTTTTAACGTCCGTATTTTTGACACAAAAATAAAGTCAACTGACCAAGGTCACTTGGTTCACCCTCACGCGGAAGAAAGGACGAGGAATTTCTTTCACGCCATTTTGGGAAGGATCCCTTACAGATCCAGTTAACTTGTGACAATTCTTTTAGGTAAAATCAACACGCTGTCATTTTGCACTTTAGTGGCCTGCTATCATGACGACAGGGTTACTCGGGAAGTACCACAAACATGTTCACCTAAAGCACCTGTCGCACATACACGAAGCCGGAGCACTAGGCGAACCCCGGCCCAAACCAATCTCCGCAATCCAAATCGTACATTGTAAAGGCTGATATGTTTCTATACCACACAGCATCGATGAAATTATTAATGACTTCACAAAACATATTTGTGGGTAAACTACTTAAGATTCATGTACAAATTAATCATCAGCTTTATTGCCACCTTAAATCGAGAATTGTAGCTTCTAGTAACTTCTTCATAACCAGGCCAGTATTAACTTTTATTGCATGTCATTTTGCATGTATAGTATGCACTGTATCCATAGTGCACATAACATTTTTTTATACATGTATTGTCGGGCCAGACCTGGCCTGGGACACAGCCTACGAAATCACACGTAGCCTTTCCTAACAAATTAAAGTACATACTATAGCGAAGGTAATTATCTAGATGTGGGGATATGGATGGTATTGTATTTGGCAATATACATGTCTGAAGAGCTAATTAGGATCTTATATTTGGCAACCAATCTGTCTCAAATTGCGCGCGGTCTTTCATATCTAAAGCTACTTAGGGTCTTATTCGTTTTTTCAGGAAAAGCCTGCCCAGAGCTTCCATTTCCAAACAACGGCAACAGGACCGAGGGTCATCTTTACGGAGACACAGTCACCTTTTCCTGTGACGAAGGCTACGAACTGATCGGTTCTGAAAATAGAACTTGCCAGGCCAACCAGAGCTGGTCAGGTGTACAGACCAATTGCTCCAGTAAGTGACCATTTTTAACAGAGTGTTTTCATATATATAGTGACCAGTCATATTGTATTTTGCAAGCAATCTGTCTGAAATTGCGCGGTCTTTCATACTTCAAGCTACTTAGGATCTTATGCGTTTTTTTTAGGAAAAGCCTGCCCAGAGCTTCCATTTCCAAACAACGGCAACAGGACAGAGGGTCATCTTTACGGAGACACAGTCACCTTTTCCTGTGACGAAGGCTACGAACTGATCGGTTCTGAAAACAGAACTTGCCAGGCCGACCAGAGCTGGTCAGGTGTACAGACCAATTGCTCCAGTAAGTATTAGTACCCCCCCCCCTCGACATTATGGTATTGTATCGAAATTTATTATCTGTTTGCAATGTTTTCATTAGCTAATACAGGTCATTAATAGTACTTAACGTATCATCTGTTTCCTGCTAATGCCCTAGATATCACAATGCTGGCGACAAAAATGACCATAAGCCAGGAAAATTAATTTACATGCTCTACTACTTGTAGTAATATGTGGTATTCTTATTGTCCCATAAACGATATTAATTTTCTGACATAGTTTCGATCTTAACTGTGATACAGGAAAGCTCTGCCAACAACTGATGGCACCTTCTAATGGCAACATCAGCGGCGGTAGTTCTTATGAGGACGTCGTTGCTTATCACTGTGACCCTGGATACGAGATCAGTGGTGATGAAGAACGAACATGCCAGTCGAACCAGACCTGGAGCGGTACACAGCCTACATGCGTTGGTTAGTTGCTATTTTGTCTTGGCTAAGTTTTGACATTTCTTTACATTCTCCAAGGTCGGTCAGTATAGCAGACCTTCAATATTAACTTCACTTCTTCCGTACATAGAGTTATTTGCTATGCACGGATCAACAAGATTTGCAACGCACCAGTAACGCTTTCTTGCGATGACGATGATGATGGCTGGGTCTTCAGGTCCAAAGATATAGATCTAGAAATGCCTGTCCTCACGTGGCTGTGCAGTCCTATTCTAGATCTGCACGTTAACTTTTTTTGCTGCAGGATGGGCATGCGAAGCACCATGCGGATGGCCATGCATTGCACGATCAAAAGGACAAAACTGAAATCTGTGTCTAGTTTGCTAAACATCATCCACACACCCTCCCTTTATGCCACTCGTGCCCTAATCATGGTTTCATGTGTGCGCTGAATTTCAAGGAATGATATATCTCCAACTTCTTTCCTAGTGATCAATTCTCTTTGACAGATTGCGTTCCTGACATCAGCCTGTATGGAGGAGGAAACAGTGAATCTTCAGCAGTGAAGATCGCGCGGCGGACAGCCTTCACCATACGGAGCCGCATCAACGTCATCTGCAATCAGACCTACGACGTCACGTATGAGTGGAACGTTTTTCAACATAACCCAATGGGTAATGTAACACAGCCACTGGACTTTCCTAACAAAGTTGTGCGTGATTCGCAAGACATCACAATTCCGAGAAACAGCTTGGGCTATGGCTCCACGATTGTTGAGCTGAACGCTACCATGGACTTCCCGACTACTGGAAGCAAAAAGTCACAGGTCCAAAAACAGTGGGTCATCATCACACCATCGGCCCCAGTTGCGCATATAGCCGGTGGCTCTGCTAAATCTGTCAGTCGGGATGGTGTTCTGGTACTGAACGCATCAGAGTCGTATGATCCGGATGAATACATCGACGACTACAGGGACTTCACTTTTCATTGGACCTGTCAGACGTCCTAATGGTAAGTCTCTCATCGTGACTCTTA